ACGACAGAGAATTATGACATGTTAGAGCTTGCCAAGACAAGAGAGGTCTGATGGTCTAACCCAGCAAACTTTTTCTGCAAATGGCCAGACAGTTAAGTACTTTGGGTTATCAGGCCTCTGCTGGAACTACTTAACTTTGCCATTGTAGCATGAAGCAGCTGTATATGGATACAGCAATGGATGACTGTGGCTGGATTCCAGTAAAATTTTATTTACAAAAATAGGCAGCGAGCCAGCACTGGCCTAGCCTACAGGCTGGAGATTGCCAACCTCTGAACTAGAGGATTAGTGCTGGAGGAACTTATACAGGTATTATTATTTCTATTATTTACATTACAAGGAGGAAGAAATTTTTAGGCCCAGGAAAGCTAAGTAGCTTACCCAATGAAGACACACAGATCACAAGAAGAAGAAACAGGAGGCTGATCCCCAAGTCTGTAGTGCTGACCATTATGCATAGTGTCGGCAGCAGGCAGAGTATAATACTTATTTGATTGTTTGAAAGTATGCTTGTATCCTTTCATTCATGGTTCTCACAGGGAAGTGGGACTATAGTGACTTTTACTTTCTTCTTTTCAGCTATAAATATTCTCTTAAAATTCAAATTTAAACCTATATTACTTTTGTAACAAGAAAAAACCCAGCTCACTTTTAAAGCAGTGGATATAAATTAGATATCAGTGCACCTTTTTTGTTGTTGACCCAATATCATTCTCCCTTTCTCTTAATAGAGCCCCCACCACCCTGCCCTCCTCTGCCAAATACACACGTCATCAATTCATGTTCTCAGGGAAGCTGACTCTGTTTCCAGTTGCAGATGGATGTCTGATTACCTAAGGGTAATTCTATCCTTTATGCCAACGACTGGGCATGTGACCCATTCTGAACCAATGAGAAAAGGGCTTCTGGGAAAATCCTTCATCACCCTTAATTCAGAGACTCCTGGAAGAATCGTCTCTCCCCTCCCCTGGGGAATTAATGAGGAAATGGTGAGCTCAAACAGATCTTAGCAGCCACCCTACTCCCAGGAGGGAACCAGCATGAAGATGAAGCCACCTCGTCAGCACAGTGGAGAAAGGGAGGAGGCATGGTTAATGTGAAGACCCGGTCTGGAGAACCCAGGTGCTGCTCTAACTCCAGAATTCCAGATCCCCAAGCCAGGAACTGTGCCTGTTGTCTAAGCCCATTTCAACTGGTTTTCTGTAACTTGTTGCCAAAAGCAATATTATATCTGTAGGATTCAGTCCAGAGCAATGCTTTGGCATTAATAACAGAATATTTCAGGCAAAATAATTTTGTATTAAAAAATGACAATATCTGCTTCAGGACTTCAATCTACTCTGTAAAAATATTTAGCCTTACTCTTAATTTCAAACTTCTAAGATTTGGAATCAAGCAGCCACCTGATCTCTGCTTTTCCAAAGCACAAGTTGAATGCCTAATATATACCTATACCAAGAGATTATGAAATGCTGGTAACAACTGAAGGTAGTCAAGACCGTAAAACCAAGCTTCCCTGTGCAGAAAATGAAAAGATTAATAGTACTTCTAAGCAAGCATTTTGCCAATTTAAGAACAAATCCAGCTGGTCTTTGATTTACTAACATGTTCTCCACAGTGACGCAGATATTCTGAAAGATGACCCACTTTCTGGGTGTCCAAAGACCTTGAGAGACTAAAAGCCATATCTCGGCTGGAATTCATCCAGTGAAGTCTTGGCAAGTCGTGTGCGGTGACTGCCGCAGCCCTCATTCTTTTACAACAACCTCTAGCTCTGTATTTTGAAGTGAAACTTGCTTCTTTTCAATTGCCAAAGGGCTACCAAATTTTGCACAGTCTGAGTCAGATACAAAAGAATAGAAGTGCCATATCCAGTTATTACAGATAGATAGATTTAAAATTTGCTTTATTGAAATATAATTTATGTACAATAGGAGTCAGCAAATTTGTTACAATTCAGTGAATTTTGACAAATGTGTAGAGTCATATAACCACTGCTGCCATCATGACACAGAACATCTCTGTCACCTCCCAAATTTCCTCCTGGCTCTTTGCTGTCAATCCCTGCCCCAACCTTTGGCCTCTGACAAACCTTTATCTGCTTTCTGTCATTACAGTTTGCTTTCTTAGAATTTCATATAAATGGAACCATACAGTATATTATCTTTTTTTTATTTAAAAAAAATTGGGGGGCCAGTAATTAGATTTATTTATTTGTCTTTAATGGCAGTGCTGGGGATTGAGCCCAGGACCTCATGAATGCTAAGCAGGTACTCTTCCACTGAGCTATACCCTCCCCCCAGTATGTTATCATTTGTATCTAGCTTGGCATTTTATTTTATCATATATTCATCCATCTAAGTGATGTCTGCCTGCTTTCATTTGGAGCAAAGGAAGATGAGAAATGCCTTTGGTAACATTTGCCTGTTTGGAGTCCGGCTACCTAGTAATGTTACTCATTGAAGAAGGGGTTGCTCTCAGGTAAACCATACATGTTGCTTCCCTGGTATTTATTTACTGAGCTGATGGCAGGCTATTTGCTCCATTTGTCTCTTGATTGTCTTTTAATTCTGCCAAGACTTCTGCTTTACATCAACAGTGATGTTGCCTGTGTGTTAAAAGAGTACTTTATTCCTCTTTCTTTGATTAATCCAGCTCTCTTTACAATTCTTCCTGGTGCCTTTTCTGAAACATTTCTTGGAGTTGACATTTTAATTTAAATTGCCAAGGAGGAGAAAGACATTATAAATAGCGATCTGTTGTAAATATGGTGTTCAGAGCTCCCCTGACAGGGGACTGGTTTCTGCTCAAAAGACAACCAGCCAGGATCAGGCCAGAGACGCTGTATTTCACTCGGAACATTTTCTTACTGGCACATTATTTAAAATCTCATCAGTAGATGCGAAGAGAAACACTTCATTAGTATTTTGAAGATTCAGTTAGACTATGTATACATAATGGGTAAAGGAAGAGATTTAAATTGGAGTCGGGACGCCGTGAAGGGAGGCTTGCAGGCACATAGCCCACACCCCAGCTCACACAGGGAGGAAGAAAGAGTCCCCCAGGCCTCAGGAACAGCAAAGTACCCGTCATT